TCCCTGTAAAGGACTGTCTTTCTAAATTGCTAAAGGAGTTCAGAAGCCATTTGTCCTTTGGCGTCCCCTTTAATCTAAATATACTCAGCAAGAAAATGAGACAGCTCAAACTTCCTTCTCCCTCCCCAGCAGCCCAGCCCAACCACTGCTCAGTTCGACCAATTAGCAATTTGCAGGGGGAAATGTGAACAAATTAATGCTGATGATTGCCGGCCACTAATTGGCTACTGGGCTGTCAGAGCAGCTTTGCAGTTGCTACATCAAATAGATAGCTAAAGGCCATGAGCTATTCAGCTGTCTGTTCTTCTCATTTGGGGCTTCAAGGCCAGGGAAGAGGAGTGGTTTACTGTAGCATTTCGGTCAATCTGTCATGACCAGCCCATCATCTCCATGGCTGTGCATGGCCAGTGTATTTACCCATAACTGTGAGGCTGGTTACAAGACTGTGGCTCTGGAAAGGGGAGAAGCTGCCACTCTTGGGGAGATGTTCTCATCCTGTCTGACAGGCAGGGAGTCATCTGAGGTGAACAGTGAAGCCAATGCACTTCTGAGGAAGTAGTGTGACGTTTTGAAGACCACACAGTTGGAGGCTAGAGGAAAAGTGTAATGTGTCACTGAAGGAGGGGAACCAGCCAGGGGAGGAGCTCAGGCCCCTCAGAGGCAGGATGCCTGGGGCTGAGTCCAGCCAATGCATCTAAGTCACTGTTTGCCCAATGGGTATCTTTCCCCACCTGATAAATGAGAGGATTCATTAATGAGTGCTGCTGAACTTGACAGAGGAAGACGTGCTACAGAACAATAAAACATTTTTTTAAATGTATACAAACTTACAAGAAATTAAACATCAAAGTATGTGCTGTTCCTTTAAAAATAATCCACTTATGAGAGTATATTACTTAATCCAAAGATGCTATAGTTTCTCCAGTCATGTCTGGGCATTTTTTACAGAATCACCAGAAAAACAAATACTTGCAGTTCATAAGAAAACCAAACCAAAGCAAAACCAAACAACACAACACTTTTAACGGTTTACAATGTTTCCTGAACATTTTGTCCCCACCTTTATCCACCCTGGGAACTTTGGCAATGAATGGAGACATTTCTGGTTGTTACAAATTGGAGAGGGGAAGAGGAAGATGCTTTTGACATCTAAGAAGTAGAGATCTAGAGGATGCTACTAAAAATCTTACAAGGCACAGGGCAACTCCCACAACAAAGAACCCCAATCCAAGATACCAGTGGTGCCAATGTTGAGAAACCCTCATTTACACTGTTATCCTTAAAGGGGAAATATGGTTGATTTTGGAGAACTATCCAAAGGTTAGTCAGAGCTAAGTCTGGTGACTAAGGAGGTCAATAAAACTGGAAAATGCCACTCCTGGAATAAAATAATGAGACTAATAATCTTACTTGATAATTTTCAACATGGAGTCCACAAAAAGTGTTCCAAGCAATATTATTCTTCACTTATTAATCCTTCCATTCATTAAACACTTATGAAGCATTTAATATGTGCTAGGAACAAATTAGCAAAACAACATTCTGATACTGAAAGAGTTCTTAGTCTAGAAACATACGGGGTAATATACCTGGCTATCTGATAAAGTAAGTTCTTTTAACTCTTTCACTATTCTGTCATTCTGAAGAAGACAGAATAGTGTTTGTTTCTTGTGAAGCTTACATAAATTAAGAGACACAAAATATTTCCGATAGTTACCTGGCCCACAGTAAACACTCAACATATGCTAAATATTGATTAATAATATATTTTTAAGATAACTATTTTAGTTATCTTGGCGACCTTTATTTATTTATTTAAAGTTTATTCTGAGAGAGAGAAAAGGAGGGAGGGAGGGAGATAGAGAGGGAGGAAGAGAAGAAGGAAGGAAGAGAGAGAGAGAATATCTCAAGCAGGCTCCAAACTGATAGTGTGGAGCTTGATGTGGGGCTCAAACCTATGAACCGTGAGATCATGACCTGAGCCGAAGGCAGACACTTAACCAACTGAGCCACCCAGGCGCCCCTAATTATTAATATTAAAAAATTATTAATATTAAAAATTCAATAACCATTGATAGTTTTCTGAATGGATTCCTTTGAGTAATATTCTTTAGAGGTATCCCTTGGTCATCTTTGTAAGTATACATATGTTGCCAATTATGCATTTTCTTTTTTATGTATTTGTATTTATTTTTTTTAATATAATTTATTGTCAAGTTGGCTAACATACAGTGTATTCAGTGTGCTCTTTGTTTTGGGAGTAGATTCCCATGATTATAGCTTATATACAACACCCAGTGCTCATCCCAGCAAGTGTTCTCCTCAATGCCCATCACCCATTCTCCCTTCTCCCCCACCCCCTCCACCATCAACCCTCAGTTTGTTCTCTGTATTTAAGAGTCTCTTATGGTTTGCCTCCCTCTCTGAAACTACCCTTATGGTATGTTAGGCTCTAATTAACAATGTTTTCCATTGATCGTGGAAATTAACAATTTCATTATATTACAATACCATTACATCTTCACTAGAGGTGGTTAGATCAGGAAAAAACAAAAACAAGAACAAAAAACAAATAAATAAACAAAAAACCTGACAAGCATTTTATAGATATTTTCCTAGCCTTTTTGATCTGGAAGGCATTATGTAGGTTAATGTCCTGGATATAAAATAATATAATCAACTATATCTACCTTCATCTGATGCTTAATAATCCTGAGGAGACAAACCACAATAATTAACCATGGAAAATTAACAAAGGCAATAAATGGCAGGTAAATTCAAGAGGGGAGGATCCATACAGGTATAGGCTAGGAGGAACATCTCGAGATGTTATTAAGAGAAATAAGAACACAAGAGACATGCAGACAGACTTTGACCTCAGTTTTTCTCATTCATGAAGGTCTCCAGAAAATATAAGATATCAAATCAAATGCTTTTCAGAGAAGGTGTCAGAAAATTTTGCAGTAAGATAATGTTGCAATGGAATTTTTTAAAGAGAGAGGAAAGGAAAAGTCTGAACTAACTGGAATCTAAGAACTCAGTCTCACTGCTGATTAAGAATTATCTTAGACCGAGTAGATGGAGTCTTAGAGGCTTCCCAGTGGCTCACTGGAGAAGCTCAGGGCTTGGTATGTTAGGAACTTCAACATTATCATCAGAAATGTGATTTCTTTTCTGAGATAGAAGCACCTTGCTGGTACTTTCTGAGACTGGACACAAGTTCAAAATTCATGAGTGTCTCCTGTTTAGTGTTAAACCAAAGAAGGGCTAGAAAAGGTGGTGTGTAAATCAAATCTCTGCGTGCCAAATTCTACTCAAAATGCACAAAGGGGGTTCATTATTCAAAAACACATTGTAATAAATCCTTATGAAAAGCAAGTAAGGGATTTTTGAGATTGTCCCACTCCACCATCTTCTGGCTGTGGGACTTGGAATAAGACATTTCAACCCACTGAAATATATTAAGACTCCATATTATAGATGAAGAGACTCTTTCCTCTGCTTCTCCCAAAAGACTGAAGCAAACCTCAAATAAGTTAATGTAGGTGATATTGCTTTGCAAACTTAAAACAGTGAACCACTTCAATTTCATGAAGACATTTATTTTTATCCACCAAGTTGTTTTACAATGAGACTGTTCTCTACTCTGTGGAGTCACTTTTATAAGTTAAGACAAATTTGAATTTTGCCAACACTGTATAATTTCACCCAATTATTTCAGCCTTCTCTGTTTCTGAAATGGTACCAGTGAATTAAATTTAGAGCAAGAGCTCAATACCTAAACTCTATAAGTCAGTCCCCTCACCCTGAAAACACAAGGAAAATTACATCAGGAAAATTTGCTCCATGGAATGTTGGCACAATGGAATCGGCTAATGAGCAGGAAGGCATTTTTAAGTGAATACTATTATGCTGTGATTTATAGGGAAGCAATATTAATTTTATTTTTCTTCCTCTAGTTATAAATTTTAGTTGAACTTTGCATTTACATGGGGGACGCACATCTTGGCTAGAATCTACATGACTTAGACCCTCTTCCTATTCCCAACCACACATGCTCCAGCATGTATTAATTTGTAAAAGACCCTTGTGGCACATCCTCATGAAAAGAGAATAAAGGGCATCTGGGTGGCTCAGTCAGTTAAGCATCCAACTTTGATTCTGATCATGATCTCATGGTTTAGTTGGTGAGTTAGAACCCCACTTCAGCCTCTCTGCTCTCAGCACAGAGCCTGCTTTATTTCCTTTGTCTCCTTCTCTCTGGGACTCTCCCTTGAATGCGTGTGCATTGTATCTCAAAAAATAAACATTTTTAATAAAAAAAAGAAAACCAAATACAAAGCGAGGGATTGTCCCACCTTTACTATTTTCTGAGTATGGGAAAACAGACAAAAATCTCCCATGCTGCCATTCATCTATCAAGAGCTGTGCACTGATAAAACTCTACAGCTGACAGGATCTCTTTCTAAATAAAACCTGTATGTTTATGCTTTGAGGTTTCCAGGAAGTAAGGAACTCAAATAGTAATTATTCTTAATAGTGTTCTATTAAACTAGTTCCAGACTGTTTGGTCCCTGGCAGGAATTGCTTGATGAAAAGGATGAATCTAGGATAGTTCTAGGGGATCAACAGACTAATTGCTTTACAAGTGCTGTAATGCAGTTTCAGGAAGCAATGGAAACCAATGAGCCTTCAAAGGGAAAAGCAGGATTTTCTATACCCTCCCCTTTCCCTCTGATTAAGCTCTTGACCATAGGTAAGCTGGAGGCTCAGTGTTCACAACAAAACTATCCAAACCTCTATTTCATGTCTTAGAATCTTCCAGACAACAAATGTGCCCCCAAACAGCATGTCTGGTGCTTCTTCATGATGAATTTCAATGTTTAGTCTTTAGTCTCAGATATCTGCCTATGTGCAAATCTGTGTTTGATTTTAAAAGGAAGGAAGGAAGGAAGGAAGGAAGGAAGGAAGGAAGGAAGGAAGGAAGGAAGGAAAGTCTTGTGCTCACTTCAGCAGAACATACATTCAAATTGGAAAGATACAGAGACTAGCATGGCCCCTGAACAAGGGTGAAACACAAATTCGTGAAGTGTTCCATATTCATCCAAGAGATCTGTGCCTTTGGAGGTACTCCACTCTCTCAAAAAGTTGTTCTCAGGAAAGACCTAATAAACTCATTTCACCCTCAAAAAAAAAAAGTCTATAATCCAAAACCATAAACTGAAATGAAGGATGCGACACCAAATCAAGCCAAAGCCCACACCTATCATGGAGACAGGGGGCAGTGATTAACCACTCTGACATATTACATTGAAGATAATCACAACAATCCCTGATAATGAAAAAGCACAGTGTGCAGAGACCTTGAAGTCCATTCCTTTTCTCTTTTGTTCAGTCAACCTATGAACTGCCTCTTCTGTCTCAGACACTGGACTAGGTTCTGGGCAGTAGGGGTGGTAAACACGTTAGCAAGGTCAGTGCTTTCTGGAAGCTTAAAGTGTAGCTAGAACCAGTTGGGAAGGTGGGGGCAATATATAAATGAAATCACAAGAAAATACCAGTGGCAAGGGATGAGACAAAACCCAACAGGCTGATGAACTTTGTTCCCCCTCAAAAGCCTGTGAAACGGAGCCCAACACTGAGCATGGAGCTTGCTTGGGATCCTCATTCTCTCTCTCTCTCTCTCAAAATGAATAAATAAGCTTTACAAAAAAGGGGAGGCCAGTTATAGCCTCAATTTACAAGGTTTTTGGAAGTTTTAGAAAGATAATTAATGCAGCATAGAGTCCGGCATATAAGAGGCAGTGAATACATTTTACATGGCATTGTCATTAAGACACCTCCCAATAAATTCAGCTCTTAATAAAATAAGATTGACACTAAAACAAACTTTCATGAAAGCAGAAACTGTTTTGCTTATTGTTTTTAGAACCTTCTTTTGCCAATGGCTGTAAAGTAGTGAAAGGGAATCTATTTCTAATTACACTATTTCCTGTATATCATTTTCTTAAAAAAAAATTTCCTCAGGGGCTGAGGAAACCTGGATGGCTCAGTTGGTTAAGATTCAGACTCTTGGTTTCAGCTCAGGTCATGCTCTCACGGTTCATGAGATTGAGTCCCACATCAGGCTCTGGACAGACAGTATGGAGACTACATGGGATCCTCTCTCTGTGTCCCTCTGCCTTCTCTCTCTCTTTCACTTTCTCTCTTTCAAAATAAATTAAGTCAACTTAAAAAATTACCCCAAACTCATTCATAAGTATTGAAGAAATATTTAAGAAATATTAATTTGGGAGCACCTGGGTGGCTCAGTTGGTTAAGGTCTGACTTCGACTCAGGTCATGTTCGTGGGTTCGAGCCCCACGTTGGGCTCTGTGCTGACAGCTCAGAGCCTGGAGCCTGCTTCGGATTCTGTGCCTCCCTCTCACTCTATCCCTCCCCTGTTCGCTCTCTGTCTCAGAAATAAACATTAAAAAAAGAAATATTAATTTGTAGAAGAACTCCTGTATTGGCTTGCTTAGGATTGCTATGTATTCTGTCCAGCTTTGTTTACACAGAATGCACTGCTACAACATCCAGCATTTTGCTTGTTTTAACTGATACTGTCTCCCCCCCCCCATTCCCCAATTGCTAAATATATGGTTTCTCTTCCAATTGTGTGGTCAGTGTTTACCAGGAACCTGGTTACGGCAATTATTTCTGCATCTATCTGGATTCCTGACCTCAAGGAACATTCACCAGAGGAAAGAAGACAAGCCTCATGCATGTCTGCAACTATGATAGAATGTAGCCCTGTCCCTTCCACCTCATAGGGTTAAATAAATGCTTGACACAGGGATCGTTCTTTCTCTCCAGGGAGTGAACAGAGTGATGAGAAATTATGCCAGAGCTCAAAGGGCCTTTTAGATACCTTCACTATGCCCTTTTATTGATTGAAAGGGATATGAATTGTTTTTCTTCATTGAGCCCAGGGTCTAGAGAGTTCTCCTGTATTTTACAGTAATATTCCTGATTTGTGAATACAAATGTAGGTTTCTAGATGGTGACATGGCGGTAATTGCATAGAAACTTTAAATCAACAAGAATTTTTTTCTGGGCCATATGGAACGCGGACCTTGAATGGATTTCTCCATTTCTATGAGCATTAAACCAGGAGAGCACCTTCCATTTGTTCCTTTATTCTGCTGATTGCTTGTGTGTGTTGCTAAGAAGTTAGCAGATGAGCTGGCTGAGTGTTTCTTTTGGCTTTGCTTCTTTTGTTCTGTTTCTCCTGTTTATTGTTGTGTTTAATGCGATACCTACTAATGATATTGCAGGACACAAATCAGCTTTGATGGAAAACTCCTACAGAGCCATGTTTGCCTAAATACAGTCATTTACGTAAGATCCTTCCTCAGAAAGGAAGAGAATGAGGGAATGTGTGCTTGGTTAACCCCCAACCTCGGCATCTTTCTGCTTTAACAGTACAGTTAATAACAGCTGTGGGAGCAAGGTTGTGGTGGGCAGAGCAGTTCCCTTTGCAGCATCTTCAAAACCCACGTTATAATGATCCATTCTACCAGATCGCTAGGCCTTGAACCGGTGCACCTCCCTGAGCGCGCAGAGCCTTGCCACACACCGCATTCCTCAAGGACTGCCAATGGACTGCAGATTGCCTTTCTACCCTGTTAGCAGTTAGGGCAAAGCCAGCCTTTCTTCTCAGCTTACACACCCCATACCTCAAGACTCGTTTTTAATCAATTACATTTTACCTTAGGCTTTGAAATTTTGCAGCTAAACTACCCAGAAGAGTCAGAAGCTAAAGGGTTTACATCATGAATGTTAGTCAGAAATTGATGTTCTGTACAGATACTATCAACCCTATTAATATCTATTAGCATCATATAAATCTTAGTTAATGGGATGGCTAATCCGTATACTTTTGAAGTGTGTTCTAGTTAAGAGTGGTGCCCTGGCAGCATTTTCTCTGGTCATCAGAGCAATGTCAGCCATATAGAACTTTCCAGTCCAGTAGGACAAACTCTCTCCACCCCACACATAAACCATTCTACACAGAGCACGGCCACCACCATCTAAACTGGTTTGGATTAATGGTTTTTTCGTTAAGAGTCAATAAACTAGCTCCTAGGTCGACGCACACTTCTTACAGCAAAAGCTCAATGTTGCCATTCATCATTGCCACCAGAGAACCAGAAACTCCATTTGTTTTCTCTGCTGCTGACAAATGTAATTTATAGGCTTTAAAGACCTAATTATTTTCTGCAATGCAGGATTAAATCTGAACACTTCTTACCGGACGGGTAAAAGAGGTAGTGGATATCCTGGAAATCTGGGGCCTCCCAATACTATGCCTCAGATTCTCAGGTGAGAGGAATTAATGGGGCTAAAATTGCAAATTCAGGCCAATACAAAAGGAAGGCAAAAAATAATGTTCTTACACAACCAGCACCCTGGAACATTTACTGCTGGTGCTCATTACAGTCCCCTCATACCTTTGTGGGGCACCCGTCCCCTGAGGTCCGTGTTGCTTTGAATCTTGTCCAGCTCCTTTTCAGGAGGGCTGTTTGGCCTGCCATCGCAGAAAGCTGAAAATACCTGGAAGTTTACTTTCATACCCCTTCCCCAGGCATTCCTTAGCCACTAATTGGTCAGAAGAAATTAAAACCTATTCTCCCTTGCCTTGATGATTCAGAATGAACTCAGGTGTAATTCACACCCCAGAGTTCCTCAGCAGGGTGACTGAGCCTGCTTCTTTGCCTGAAATAGCTTCCTAATCAAGGAAGACCAATCAGGTCTCCTTTCCATTCTTTGTCTTTGATTCTACACTTTGACAGGTCACTCTGGAGAGCACTTCCTTAAGAAATCACGTGGCTGTCCATCATAGTCCAGGAACATGCTTCTGGGCCACCTTCCCTAAAACACTCACCAACTAGCCCCACTATGGACATAGTATTGAACAGGAATGTTGAAAGAAGCTCTTATTGTCCAAAAAGACAGTCAGTAATGTCAATAAGCACTCACAATCTAGTTTTTACCCTATTCAGAGTTTAAAATTGGGCATGGAGAAAGTTGGTTTGATATGTAAGAGCTTGCGGGAGAAGCAGACTTTTGGTCTCAGGTGAGTCTACCCCTCCTGCACCTGGGCTATTATTTAAGAAGTGGGCTGGCTAGCACAGCATTGCTCAAACACAATTCCAGGCACCACCTGATTCCTTAAAACAGCAAGTGCGAGCACATTCCCTGGACTTGAATATCTCCTGAACTTTCCTTACCTCCCACCAACCTAATTTTGATTTCTATATCATACAGCTTATGTCTTCTATGCACAAGTATATTTTGACTCTTTTCCACCAAAATTTTTTCACTTCATTCCAACCTCAATATCTTTGTTCATAGACTTTGTCTACATAGAACGCTCTCCCTTCTACCAGCCATTAATCCACCATAATTTAATTTTGATCATCAGCTCTTATCTTGAATTCTTCTAGCATATATATTTCTTCCTTTCCCATTGACAAAAACTCCATTGACAATTTCTTACACTCCAAGATTGTAAGCCTCTTGAAAGTAGAAAACACCCGTCTCTTTTTTTCTTTCCTTTACTAACATACTGATGTTAATACTAGTCATATATTAAAAGTAAGGTTACTTCTATAATATTATTTATAAATGTATTCTAAATGATATAAATACTTATATTTATATTTGTATAAACTAATTACACACATAGGCTAGAACAAAAGTTTGGCTTTTTTGGAGGTTTTTTCCCCCCCAGAATTATAATCTGAAGGTTATGGGAATTAAGTGTCTTCAAGATTTACAGTTTACAGTAGGACATAAAGAAGGGCTAGACAAACCCAGCAGATAACCACAATTCCACTGAATTATCTATTATTCCACTTATCCTGAACCTGATGCCTAAAATCTATCCTCTCTCATGCATAACTTGGGGATAATCATTGTGTTCTTTTGCTGATTCTCTGACAGGTACAGTGCTCCTGAGTTGGGTAACACACTGAGCATCTACATTAATAATGACTCCCTTATGTGTTCGTCATTCTTCTATAATATTAAAACCCCACATGACAAGACAACTAACCAGAT